GGTTTTGATGATCACAAAGTAATTTGAAATATTTATACTAACCAAGAAAGTGAACACTTTGATTGACCAAGAAAGTGAACACCTTGATCAGGTCTGATGGAACAAAGAAAGCATATGTTCGTTTATCTCCTGACTACGTTGCTTTGGATGTGGCAAACAAGATTGGAATAATATGAATGAATTTAGTCATTGTTTTGTTCCGATCAAAGATACTATCCTTTAAATATGACGATTTTGCTATTCTTGGTATTTTTGAAATGTATCTAACCTTCTTCGATTATAAGTGTCTTCACATATCAAAGAATCAGGTATGAATAGGTCATGAAATGCAATTCAACCAAAAGAAGAAGCAAAAACAGGACACTCACGTCGGACGGCCGAAAGGAATCTGTCGGACGTCCGAAAGGATAAAGAGCATCAAGAAGGAAGCTCTGTCGGACGCTCGTGAGGAAGCATCGGAGGTCCGGAAGGATCGGACGCTTGCCATCGGACGCTCATCAACCGCATCGGACGTCCGAAAAATTCCAAGATGACTTGCCAACTCTCTGCCTACGATCGGACGCTGTGGTGTCGGACGATCAAGACGTATCGGACGTCCGAACTTCAACTTGGCTATCATCGGACGATTGGTTCGGACGATGATTCGATCGTCGGACGTCCGACAGCCCCAACGGCTAGTTGACTCTTCAGCTGCCTTCTATCCGTTGGAAGCATTGATGAAGCCCATTTCTGGTTCCCTTTAAAATCAAATTGGTCTGAACCAAAAAGGGACTTTTGCACACTTTGTTTACAAGATCTCAAGAGATATTTTAGCTAGAAAATAGTCTCCAAAGCAAGGTTTGTTTTAAAAGTGGTGTGAATTTCTGGTGAGCATTTCTTTTGTGATTGAAAGGATCTTTAGTGTAGCTTTGTTGAGGGTTTTCTGAGTGTTTGTAAAACTTCTTAGCTTGACTAAGTGTGGCTTAGGGCAAGGAGGAAGTGCTCCCTCCATTGTACATCTAGTTGATCTTCTTTCATCAAAGAGAAGTTGCTCTTCTTAGTGTTTGGTCTTCAAGCTTGAGGATAGCTTGGTAGACACTTGGTTTGATTTCCTATCTTACTTTTCTGTTTAATAAAATTCTTATTGCTTATCTATACTTGTTTTTCTGATCAATATTGCTCTTGTCTTCTAATCTACTTGGTTGATCATTACTAGAAAAGAAGGTAAATTTTATTAAAGAAAAAGTGCATAAATTTGGTTAAGATTTTAATCAACCCATTCACCCCCCCTCTTGGTTGTCTTTGGGACTTACATACTAGAATGCATAAACCAAGCAAAACGGCAAAATTGACACATGCAAGTACGGAAACGGCAAATGGCCGGCAAACGGAAGTGACAGATTTGGCATCCAGAACTGTTTTGATCAAATTTTAGGCTACGATTATTGGATCGGAGTGCATGAGGTACCATTGCGAAACTAAGAAGAAGGCTACAACTTTCATGAAGACACCTCAAGCCAGATCTCAATAGAACTAGGACAAAAATGCACAAAATAGTTCCAGCCATTTCATTTTAGGTTACCAAATAGACCCTGTTTGAAAGACCATAACTCACGACTCAGAGATCGGAATCAAGAAATTCTGAAGGCGTTAGAAAGCTCATTTATAACGCTATAACTTTTGTATTTTGACCAAAAATTGAATCAGCACAGAGCATAGGAAAAAATTGGTCCAAAGTTCCTGTCAAAACTGTCCAACTTCGAAGGCAGTTCTGACACCCGATCTTGTTTTGGTCATAACTGAAGCTACAGGACTCGGATTTAGATGCACTTTATACCATTTCGAAGCTAAGACCAAGGTCTACATTTCTTATGAAGGGATCAACACCCAATTCGCACGTTATCTAGGCGAACCGAGCATGGCCAGAGGCCAAATTTGAAAATGTAACACAATCTAGTGTTCCAAACAGGAGAGATTGTTTTAGCCATAACTCAGGTTACACTGATCCATTTTACCTGAAATTTTGCAGGCACGTCAAGGACTTAAGAAACTATAACTTTTATGTTTTGAGTAGCTTCTAAATCAGCACGCAGCATAAAGAAAAATAGAGCCCATGTTCGAATTTGTGAGCTGCCATGTTTCCAGTTTTGCCGGTTTTTGAACTTTGCAAACACATGGTCCATTGCTACGAGTCTTATACAAGTTTTCTAACCAATTTCATACCAAACAATACTACCTATACCAGATTCTAAAATACCTAGCAATGGTCCGAAATTTCTTCCCCCAATTACCAAATATTACCCACCATCTAGATTCCAATTCCATTGGTTCTTTGCTAACTTCAAAACGCTAGCCAAGTACACACCAACCTTTCAAGTTCTAACTAAACCAAACTAATTTCCCTTTTTCATTAGGGTTCCATAACAAACCTGAGTTTATTAAGAGTTTACCATTCAAATGACTTAATTACACCAAAAGTTCCATTATCAAGTTTAATCACCAACCCAATTGACTAAGAGAAGCTTAAACCAAAAAGCCCTAATTTCTCCTAGCCTTAACCAAAATTTCAGCAACATTATCACTAAATTAACCCATGAAATTACTCTATAACCACCATATACTCACCATATGAACAATAAGAGAGCACAATTACAACAAAAGCATCACTTTTCATGATTTCAAAACTTAATCACCAAAAACCAACTTTCAAAGAGGATGATTTACCTTTAATTGAAGCTCTGTAGATGATCAAACCACTACAATCAAGTGCCAAGGTTGTTGTTCTAGGCTCCAAGATCAAGTTTAATGGACAAAAGTTGATGCACCAAAGGGATTTCTCTTCTCTCTTTTCTCTCCAAATTTTCGGCCCTCTCTCTCTTTTTTTCTTTCTATGTTGTTTTGTGATTTTATCACTTAGTTTCTCTTGTATCTTCTAGATATAAGCTTAGTCATAAGCCTAGTCAAGACATGAGAAGATATTTTCTTAACACCCAATCACATAAAAGTTCCCATTTTGCTCCTTTAACCCTTACACTTCAACTTACCTTTTATTCCACTCTTGCCCTTGAACATTTGAACTCCTTACAATTTACTCCATAGGACTTAAACTTAATCTAGTCCAAACTCATTAATCTTACTTAGTTTCTCTACTAATCACCCCACTAACTTAATCATCTATACTTAACCATGTATTAACATGCACAAATGCAATTAAACAACAATCGTTTTGTCATGGGAAATATTAAGTGTTTTTAAACCCAACTTAGGGCTCTAATAAATTATAACACTAGAGATTTTACTAGTTTAGGATTTTCTAGCTTTTAAACTTACCTAACCTATATAAAATTGATCGAATCCTATACTAAACCACACACTAGCATAACTAACTCTAACTTGCGATTAACACAAAAACTAGAGTTTTAATCATAACCCCAATTAGGGTTTTCCAATTAACCCTAAAACCCCAAATTTTACCACACAAATAATTAGCATCACATATTAATCAACCTTAAGGACTAATCAGGGTCTCACACCTTCTGTTTGGATCCCCTATTTTTGGGGTGTTTTTCAAAAATTAGTTTTTCAAATACAATAAAATTTTTTAAAAAGTACTCTAAAAGGTAATCTAAAAATTAGTTTAAAATTTTAAAAAATATCTCAAAATATATTCTAGAAACTTTTGTACTCTTAAATATCCCAAAATATTTTCTAAAAATATTTCAAAATATATTTTAAAAACTCTGCTACAGCAAAGTTGTGACAGCCCCACCTCCCCCTAGGGCATACCCCAGGGTTCGGCGGGCCGCCTGCGCAACTCTCGCCGGGACTCAGTCGTTCACTACAATCCTCAAATGAATTACAAGAATAAACCTCAAATGTTACAATGTAAATCTCCAGTATTTACATGTCATAAGCGAAGCGGAAACAATTCCCAACTATACATAAAATGATTCCAAATCCAAATTGTACAAGATATATGCCATCCACCCACGTGAACAAGTACTACAAGTCCTTCCTTCGCCACGAGCCCTGTGGAGGGGAATAAAATATTTTTGGGGTGAGCTAGAAGCTCAGCGTGTGAGGACCCCAAAAATATATATATATAAACCTGTGCATATTTCATTTGCATTTTCTTTAATTATTTAATAATTTCTAGGATTACTTTCACCTGTTTCCAAATAAGTTCGTAAAAACACTTTTCATGTGAGAAATAATATAATTTTCCTAAGTTATGAAAGTTCTTGGTTTTGTTAGACTAAATTAAAATCTTTGGAGTTAGAATAATTTATCGCCTTAACATAAAATGCTAAAATACTTAGTCTTCTCTATGTTAAAATTAATACTACCTGAGTAGATTAATTATATAAAATTTCTTGAATTTCAATAATTAATTCCAATTAGTTGCTAACGTTAAATGTTAATAAGAATTTTCGCGTTACAATGAAAACCAATGAATTTTAGATAAATATGATTCTAATATACTAAACATACTCAAGGCGTGAAAATTCGATAAATATATCCTTATCTTTCTTTGTTTTCGCAATAAGTGCGTAAAAATAATTTTTATGTGCAAATTGACATCCTTGGATTTGATTATTATTTCACTTGACTTTACATTACTAAATCGATAAATTTCGAGTTAGACTAACTCTATTCCCTGAGAAATAATAATTGGAATTCTAAGAACTAATTTAATCGTTAAATAATATAAGAATTACTAGGAATCTCAATATTCAAGTTTAATCGATAATTATTCGATACAAATGGTTTAGGTGTATTAGGGTATAATTAGACGTTTAAATCACGCTTGTGGATAATTTTTAGAATTAAGTTGAAATTGAGAAATTAAGTTGAGGTTAGGGAGCAAAGTGAAAAGACTAAAATGCCCTTACCTTTCCATGCAAACCAAACAAAACCTCTGACCGCAAGTTCAATTACCGCAACTATCACCAATTCTATACGCAACCGATTTTAATACACGAAACCTCTACTCCTAAAACCGCGGCACCTTATACCATTACCCCATTTCACATCCAAAACCACGGCACCACAATACTTCCTCATCATCTCATATTACAAACCGCGGCACCTTATCTGCCATTCATCTCCATTTCCTCTCCATTGTTACCTCAGCCCAAACCACAACAACATTTCCTCACCTTGTAATCATCGACCAAGAGAGAGAGAGAGAGAGAGAGAGCTGCACTCTGCAAGCCGAGAGTGAGAGTGAGGGAGAGCCGAGCTTCTTGTTTCTTTTCTTTCCGTCCGTAAGCTAGAGGGGGAAGAGAGGGACTTGCGATTCATTCTGTCTTCTAACCGTGAGCTGGTGAAGGGACTAAGGGCTGAACTTTCTCCATTCCAGCCGCCACCCAGAGCAAGGGAGAGAGAGAGCTAGTGGTCTGCATTTTCTGGGCTGCCGAAGGGAGGAGGATTATTTCTGCTGCTAACCGTGTGTATGAGCTCCATTTGAGGTAACTTCTGAACTGAAATTAGTTGGTTATAGGCAAGTGAGGTCAGCTATGGACTTGCATGTGGTGCTTGTGAGGTTAGATGAGGAATTGTGACTTAAGAAATCTGATTTGGAAAAGAATTAAAGCTGTCGAAAGTTTGAAGCTGGAATTGCAGCTTGTTTCTGGAAATTTCGGTTCTTACTTTGCTAGCTGTGATTAGCTAAGTTGATAACACAAAGATTAATGTACGCATGCTGGATTGAGTGTCCGGATGAGGAATTAGGAGCTTGAGAAAATCTGATCCAGTGAAAATGATTTCTGTCGTGAGTTTGAGATGAAAAATGCAGTTGTAATCTGCTTAATTTCGACAATCTGAGCATGAAACCGTGTTTAGCTAATTAAAACTCGGATGGTTAAGCTGATTAGGGCCTTGCATGATAATTTTATGAAGTTGGATAATGAATTAAGGAGCTTAGGAAAATTCTGTTTTGATGAAAAATTTCTACCGAGAGTCTGCCTTGAATAATATAGCTTCATTTGGTTTAATCTTGTTGCTTTGAGCCTATAACCATAACTAACTAGCTAATAACGAGATAATTGAGCTTTGCATGTGGCTAATTAGTTGGGTTAAAACCGAAATAAAATCACAATGCAATCAGTTTTCATGCCACAACAACCGAGGTTTGAAGCTGGAAATTTCTGGAAATTTTGGAGGATTTTTGTTGTTAATCGAAAGTAATTCCTGAGCTAGATATGTTAATTAACTAGTTAAGTGATGACATGTTGAATTGAGACCTTAATACTCTGTTTTAGCCAAGGAAAAAGTAGTAATAAAAACATACAATCGCTGGAAAATTTTGTGAACTACCGTGAGGTTGAACCTGGAAATTTTGAGGTTTATGACCATTGTTTGAATTTAATTCTGAACTAGAAGTGTTAATTGGTTAAGATAAGTTAATGCATGAAATATATGTGTCTTAAGTCTTGTAAGATATTCAGTTGTAAAGTACTTGATCCGTTGGATGAATTGACCAAAAATGTTGAAACATAGCTGCTGCAATTTTTTTCCAGCTTAGCCGATGGTGGCTCTTTTGAGTTTTAATGGAAAATTGGTGAGTGGGCTCTATGAATTCCCACAATGACTTGGATGATCTGATTAGCTAGTCAAGTATTTGCTTGTCGGATTTGAGTACTTAATATCATGTATTAGCCGAGTAAAAAGTTGGTTTTATGACCAATTAGCTGCTGGAAATTCTGTTTAGCCGATGACAGATTTATTGTGGTGGAATTATTTGCCAAAATTACATGTTATTTGTTTTATTTCATGTCGGAAAATTTTGATGGTGGGCTCTATGAACTCCCACCCTTGGATTGATGATGGATATAATGCTAGTTTAGTGTTTAAATAGGTAGATTAATGATACCTAGCTAGTCTAGACTCCAAAAGATGCATAGTTCAAAAATGTTCAGATTTGCCCTGTTTTAATCGCACCCCTTTTTGCAAAATTTTGAGGGTTTCATGACTTGTATATCATGTTGATATGTTGAATATATGGTGTTCAAAGTTTCATTGAAAAATATTGAGGTTAGGTTGGTCAAATAAATCGATTTAACAAAGCTAGTAAATCTGGAACTATTTCCGAAATGCTCTGACCAGCTTTCGTATTTCGGCCATAATTTTGAACTCCGATGTCGAAATCGAGTGCCGTCAGCGGCATTTGAAACTAGACATTCCAACCTTTTCGACGATATAAAATGCACATTCTGGTTCCATGTATGTGAGCCAAAACAACTATTTTAAGTTGGCTGTTCTGTTTCTCTGCTTTACAAGAACAAAATGCTGAGGCTGCAACTTGTGACTCGAATTCGAGCTAGTTGTGTGCCGAATTTCAAAATGATTTCTTCTGTGAAATTATAGCTCTATGAATGTATTTTCCAACGCCTTAAACCATGCCAAATTCTGAGTTAATTTGAGTGATCTGTGATCAAAATATGAAACCTGCTCTGTCCTTGAAAACCCTGATTTTTAGACAGATTTGATGCAAGGTTTGGCAAAGACTTGCTAACTGAATATTTTGATGCTAAACACTTACCAAATGTACCATGAACCAGGTTTGGAGGAATTTTCCTTTGACCAAATGTCTGAAATGGAAAAACAAAAGGTTCAAGGCAGTTTTGTCTTAGTATTTGCGAAATTTTAGGTGTTTGATTGACCACCTTTCCGAAGTTATTTTTCCATGAAATTTGGTAGAGGAACAACCCTTATATGGTAGTATTATACTGCTAATTATGGTGTTATTCTGAGGCCGTTTCATGGGTCAAATAAATTACCAAAGTTCATGACTCGAGTTTGAAAAACCCATGTTTCACAAGAGAATTTTAGTAACTTTGAGCTACCGTATCTTGGTGCTCAAAACCCCGTTTCTCGTTCCATTTATTTTGTTATACTCTTGGATTACAACACTAATAGGGTTGAAAATTTCAAAAGCTAGTTCCAAACAAGTGAATTTTGCCGAAATTCCAAAGTTGGCCAAAAACCAACTTTAATCTGCCTTATGAACCAAAACAGTAACTTTGAGCCCATTTTTGACTATCTTCCATTTAGAATCATGGAAAAGTGTATTCTAGGAACTTTTAGTACTTTCAAAGAGGTTTCCAATAGTACCAAGTTTTTCAATTTTGGGCTTGTAGAGAGTAAGATATGATTTTTCAAAGATTACTTGTTAAATCTGGAATTTTCTAACTTAAAGGAAACTAAGGGGTTTCGAACTCTTCATTTCTGTCAATATCATTTGATTGTTTTACATTTGAATCCAGAGATGGAAATCAGATTTGTCTTGTATTTTAAAACCCCACTTGTGAACCTCGAGTTACACGAATTCTTAGGCTCGTCTCCGCGTTAATTTCTTAGATTTCACTAGCGTACAATCTTCATCGAAAACTAGAGAATTCGTAGCGATATTGAGTGGTACTTGAATTATTGTTTGCTCAGGCAACCGAGGAGATCTCCAAGAGGAACTCGGAGCGGACTCCTAAAACGCTTGTTTGAGACCTATTGCGCTTGTTTGACTAGGTGAGTGTTCCATATAGGAATACGTAATTGAGTAAGTCTAGGACATGCTCATTTCATGATCGTTAAGTATTTACCATACTCGTGCCTATTTAAGAAATATATATACTTGCATTGCATATCGACATGAATTGGTTAAATGATTAACCCTATCAAATGATCTTGTAAACTCAATACGTGCTTAGCCTGCTTGTTTTATGCTTATTTGGTTAAAGTGCTCTTGTGACTCGTTATGTGACAATTTGGAAAATGAGTTTCGATCCATCGAAGTGCGCAGTGTGTACTTTATCACATTAGCCGTTCGAGTGGTGACTTGCGTGAAACATTTTCTCGTGAATCTAAATGTAGTAACGTCGTTGGAGTGAATCTCCTCGACTCTCACATGGTAAAAATGGGATAATGGCCAATGATGGCCTATTAATATGGCAAATGCCTGCCAAATAACCGTCATTACTCAACCGTTAACCGTCAACCGTTAACCGTTAACCGTGAACCGTTTACCAACCCACATGACTACCTGATTACCTGACTATTTGCTCACATGATTTCTAATCTATATGATTATTCGATATCCGTGAATTACATGCTCCCATGAAATCAACTTGTATTGCTTACGTGCTTACGTGCTAAGTATCCACTTGATTACTTGATTATCATGAATCACATGTTATATGAAGTTGTCCATCATTGTTAGGCGAGTGTGTACTTTACCTCACTCGACCTATTCAAATGATGAATTTTACTTTTTGTCGAATTACTTGGTTACCTGTGCATGTTGTAAGCTATAAGCTGAACTTGGGCCCTGCCTCGGTTACTGACCTACTCGAGCCAGGACTGGGCTCGGTCGGGTAGGTTGGAACCCTGGACAACCGTTTCGGTATACTCGAGTACTACCACTGGAGGGATAAGGTGATGGCCAGTCAATCGAAGGAGTTACCGATCGGAGTTATAAGGACGGGAAGTGGACCGAGTACTGTATCCTTTTGTGCTTGCTTTGCTATTAATAATGTTATTGCTCTCCTAGTTGACATTTCTCGGGTAAGACTCCTCATGAGCATTAATCTCTGAGATGAAGCAATCCTTGTAATGTTCTTCTAGTCAGACGAGCCACTATTTGTTTGACTAAAAATTCATGAAAATATATTTATATGGTCATTCATTCCAAAAATACGTTAGTGATTTTAGATAATTTATGAGTTGTACTCATAGTAAAGTTACCAGCAAAAGTACTACTACTACATGTGTTTTCAAAGTAGCAATTACCCGAGTAATGATTATCACCTCATGATAACCTGCCATTGTGTAACCTCGAACCATGCATATGACATGCACAACTTTCTTGATTTGTTTGAACTGTTAGAGTGTCTTGGAACCTCACTGGGCTGTGTAGCTCATTCCACGTTGTGATTTTCTTTTACAGGATTTGAGACCAAAGGTGCTCGGAAGTAGTACTAGATTGTTTACTTTCATGAATGTAATTCGAGTTAAACATTGTAGTTTTGCCTTAGGTTGCCACTTGAAGCTGGAAAAGTGTAAACCCTGGATTTGTATGTGGCTTGTATGAATTTGTTACTTGGCTTGTAAGGATGTATTTGAATTGATGTTTTGTTTCTTGGGTTGTATTCGGGAAGGTATTTTAAGAATCGACGTTGGCTATCTTAAGGCACTGTTATCTCTGAAGTTAATGTGATTCTAGAAACCGGCTTATTTGGAGGGAAACGATGTTGTAATAGATTAGGTTATACTTCGGAAGGATTTTTGCTAGCTTGCTTGCGTGAGTCCTGGCGAGAGCTAGGCAGACGGCCCGCCAACCCTCTGGTTCGCCTTAGGGGAAAGTGGGGTCGCCACAGGTGGTATCAGAGCTTAGGCTCTAGATCTTTGTAGTGTATCTTAGACTTTAAGCATAAGATGCCGGACTGTGGAGTTTGATTGTTTAGTAAGTGGAATGTGATCTTAATACTTGATGATTGATTGAGTAATATTGAAGTGTTTGGCTTTAAGTGGGTTTGCACACTAGGGTTTCTTATATTGTAAGAAACTGAAGAGAATTGTGTGAGAATTGATTTGAAAAGTGATAGTTGAGTTTCTTGAACATTGGTACTAGCTGATATCTATAAGATTGAATTTGACTGGGTAAATTATAAGATTCGAGATATCCTCTAGGCTTGTAATCTTCGTAAGTATATGTATGAAATTGAATGTGACTCTTGGATCGATTGCTTGATTGAGACATTTTGTGAAATTTTCTTTGAGGAATAGTGGTGATTGAGTTGATTTGCATCTGGAGATGGCCAGTCCTAGTGCGAATTGACTTGGTTTCCACTTGACGCTTAAGTGAGCCAGTTGTACATATTCCCTGAGTTTGAAAATGGTACTTGAGGCTTTAACTAGAAATCCCAAGGTTGGTTATTCTTGGAGAGGTATGCACTTTAGTCATTGGCTGGCTTGCTAAAGATTTTTTTTTAACTTTGGATAAATGACCTTTGATTTCAACTTGTATTATGACTTGATTAGCTCTAATTTTGTAATGGCATGCAACTTAATTGAGACTAGTTTAAATTCTATGTTAACTGTTAATGTGCTATTTGTGAAAATGTTATCTGTGGATATAGTTTTATTGCTCATTTTGAAAATTGTTAAATATACGTGTGCATAGATAATTTTTAGTTTAGTAAGCCATTTGCACATAATTGTAGAGACTAGTTGTGAGAATGGAAGCTGGGAGATGACGACGTGGACGTCAACCCAGACGACCTCAAAATCAAGGAGGAGATAAAGAACCCACCGCCAACCGAAACGCTGAACCTAGGGTTGGGGTAGAAAATCAAATTGGGTTAGTTTTGACTCGCATGACAGACATATTAGAGCGATTGGTACCCCAACAAGGCCAGGGAATTGGACAAGTGAACCAACTTGGAAACCAAGAAATAGGAGAGGATAAGGCTTTAGAGAGATTTCAAAAGTTTTTCCCTCCTAAATTTTCTGGGGGTCCAAACCCCGATATAGCTGAGAATTGGTTGGAAAATATAAGGAATATATTTGATGCACTAGATTATTCCGAGGAGAGAGAAGTAAATTTCGCTGTGTTCCAACTTGAAGGATCGGCTCGAGCATGGTGGAACGTTATAAGAAATAAGTGGGAAAGGGAACAAACTCCGAGAACTTGGATGAACTTTGTCCTAGAATTTAATGGAAAATTTCTTCCACCACTAGTCCAAGAAAAGAGAGAAGATGATTTCATAAACCTTCGTCAAGGAACTTTAAGTGTAGCTGAGTATGAAACACGCTTTACAAAGTTATCTACATATGCCCCAGAATTGGTGGCTACTGAAAGGAAGAGAATAAGACGGTTTATCCAAGGATTAGATTTGGAAATCCAAGATGCCCTTGCCGCAGCACAGGTTGAAACATTTAGTAACGCTCTCGAAAAAGCGCAAAGGGTAGAAATCACAAAATCTCAACTGAGAGCTTTTCAAGCAAGGAAAAGAGACGCATCTGACAGTACACTAGGAGAAAATGGACCACCACCCAAAGTTAGAAAAGAAGTGGATGGGGTAGGACTGTTACTTCCTGCACCACTCAGGGTAAAGGAACCAAAAGGAACTATGTCGCGAGAGACTTCAGTAGGACAGACACGATCAAAGAAAACCTCGCAAACAAGTCAGGTCACAACACCTCGTCCAATTTGTGGATATTGTGGAAGGACGAATCACACTGAAGAAAACTGTTGGCTAAAGGGACGAAAGTGTATGGGATGTGGGAGTACTAGCCATAAAGTTCATGACTGTCCAAGGAGGTATCCACGAGACACCACTGCTCAACAGGGAAATGGAACTGTCCCTCGACAAGTCAATGGAAGGAGGAACCGACCAGTGGCGTCTGAACGAACACATGACATGATCATACCACATGGTTTAGGGTTATCCGAGATTTCAGAAGGTATGAATTTCGAGAACGAAATTCTCTTTAAGGAAGGTAGGTTGTGAGGACACCAAAAATATATATATAAACCTGTGCATATTTCATTTACATTTTCTTTAATTCTTTAATAATTTTTAGGATTACTTTCACCTGTTTCCAAATAAGTTCGTAAAAACACTTTTCATGTGAGAAATAATATAATTTTCCTAAGTTATGAAATTTCTTGGTTTTGTTAGACTAAATTAAAATCTTTGGAGTTAGAATAATTTATCGCCTTAACATAAAATGCTAAAATACTTAGTCTTCTCTATGTTAAAATTAATACTACCTTAGTAGATTAATTATATAAAATTTCTTGAATTTCAATAATTAATTCCAATTAGTTGCTAACGTTAAATGTTAATAAGAATTTCCGCGTTAAAATGAAAACCAATGAATTTTAGATAAATATGATTCTAATATACTAAACATACTCAAGGCGTGAAAATTCGATAAATATATCCTTATCTTTCTTTGTTTTCACAATAAGTGCGTAAAAATAATTTTTATGTGCAAATTGACATCCTTGGATTTGATTATTATTTCACTTGACTTTACATTACTAAATCGATAAATTTTGAGTTAGACTAACTCTATTCCTTGAGAAATAATAATTGGAATTCTAAGGACTAATTTAATCGTTAAATAATATAAGAATTACTAGGAATCTCAATATTCAAGTTTAATCGATAATTATTCGATACAAATGGTTTAGGTGTATTAGGGTATAATTAGACGTTTAAATCACGCTTGGGGATAATTTTAAGAATTAAGTTGGAATTGAGAAATTAAGTTGAGGTTAGGGAGCAAAGTGAAAAGACTAAAATGCCCTTACCTTTCCATGCAAACCAAACAAAACCTCTGACCGCAAGTTCAATTACCGCAACTATCACCAATTCCATACGCAACTGATTTTAATACACGAAACCTCTACTCCTAAAACCGCGGCACCTTATACCATTACCCCATTTCACATCCCAAACCACGGCACCACAATACTTCCTCATCATCTCATATTACAAACCGCGGCACCTTATCTGCCATTCATCTCCATTTCCTCTCCATTGTTACCTCAGCCCAAACCACAACAACATTTCCTCACCTTGTAATCATCGACCAAGAGAGAGAGAGAGAGAGAGAGAGAGAGCTGCACTCTGCAAGCCGAGAGTGAGAGTGAGGGAGAGCCGAGCTTCTTGTTTCTTTTCTTTCCGTCCGTAAGCTAGAGGGAGAAGAGAGGGACTTGTGATTCATTCTGTCTTCTAACCGTGAGCTGGTGAAGGGACTAAGGGCTGAACTTTCTCCATTCCAGCCGCCACCCAGAGCAAGGGAGAGAGAGAGCTAGTGGTCTGCATTTTCTGGGCTGCCGAAGGGAGGAGGATTATTTCTGCTGCTAACCGTGTGTATGAGCTCCATTTGAGGTAACTTCTGAACTGAAATTAGTTGGTTATAGGCAAGTGAGGTCAGCTATGGACTTGCATGTGGTGCTTGTGAGGTTAGATGAGGAATTGTGACTTAAGAAATCTGATTTGGAAAAAGAATTAAAGCTGTCGAAAGTTTGAAGCTGGAATTGCAGCTTGTTTCTGGAAATTTCGGTTCTTACTTTGCTAGCTGTGATTAGCTAAGTTGATAACACAAAGATTAATGTACGCATGCTGGATTGAGTGTCCGGATGAGGAATTAGGAGCTTGAGAAAATCCGATCCAGTGAAAATGATTTTTGTCGTGAGTTTGAGATGAAAAATGCAGTTGTAATTTGCTTAATTTCGACAATCTGAGCATGAAACCGTGTTTAGCTAATTAAAACTCGGATGGTTAAGCTAATTAGGGCCTTGCATGACAATTTTATGAAGTTGGATAATGAATTAAGGAGCTTAGGAAAATTCTGTATTGATGAAAAATTTCTACCGAGAGTCTGCCTTGAATAATATAGCTTCATTTGGTTTAATCTTGTTGCTTTGAGCCTATAACCATAACTAACTAGCTAATAACGAGATAATTGAGCTTTGCATGTGGCTAATTAGTTGGGTTAAATCCGAAATAAAATCACAATGCAATCAGTTTTCATGCCACAACAACCGAGGTTTGAAGCTGGAAATTTCTGGAAATTTTGGAGGATTTTTGTTGTTAATCGAAAGTAATTCCTGAGCTAGATATGTTAATTAACTAGTTAAGTGATGACATGTTGAATTGAGACCTTAATACTCTGTTTTAGCCAAGGAAAAAGTTGTAATAAAAACATACAATCGCTGGAAAATTTGTGAACTACCGTGAGGTTGAACCTGGAAATTTTGAGGTTTATGACCATTGTTTGAATTTAATTCCGAACTAGAAGTGTTAATTGGTTAAGATAAGTTAATGCATGAAATATATGTGTCTTAAGTCTTGTAAGATATTCAGTTGTAAAGTACTTGATCCGTTGGATGAATTGACCAAAAATGTTGAAACATAGCTGCTGCAATTTTTTTCCAGCTTAGCCGATGGTGGCTCTTTTGAGTTTTAATGGAAAATTGGTGAGTGGGCTCTATGAATTCCCACAATGACTTGGATGATCTGATTAGCTAGTCAAGTATTTGTTTGTCGGATTTGAGTACTTAATATCATGTATTAGCCGAGTAAAAAGTTGGTTTTATGACCAATTAGCTGCTGGAAATTCTGTTTAGCCGATGACAGATTTATTGTGGTGGAATTATTTGC